AGCCATTGCTCTATACTCTGCTTCAGCGGAAGAACGTGGTACTACTGATTGTTTCTTGGTCCGCCAGGAAATAAGGGCTCCACCTAATAAAACAAGGTATCCATGTCGAGATCGTCTAGAGAACTGACACCCCAACCAATCAGCATCACAAAAGGCAGTGAGTTCAAGGCCTCCTGTTTTTGGAAGTAGAATACCTTGTCCTGGATTGGCTTTTAAGTAGAGAACGACACGAATGGCAGAATCCAAGTGCTTTTGTTGAGGGTCGGAAACAAATTGGTTGAGTAAATTTACTGCATATGAGATATCTAGTCTTGTTACTTGTAAATACAGGAGTCGACCGATCAGCCGACGATAATGGGTGTTATCGACAGGAGGGCTATCGGTTTTGCTCCATGGGGAAAGCACTTGGTTGACAACCTAGTTGACCACCATCTTTTAAAATATCTAAGGTGTACTTTCTCTGACTAAGTACCAACCCTTCTTTCGTTCGACTTGCTTCGATGCCCAAGAAATATTTTAGAGGACCAAGATCTTTAATACTAAACTGATTGTGTAAATGAAGTTTGAATTCTCTAATTTTTGCATCGTTATTCCCCATGATAATAACATCATCTACATAAATGAGGACAACGATGAAAGAAGTGTCTGATATGTAGATAAGAAGTAAATGATCAGCCTTGGACTGCTTGAAACCAATGTTGAGTAAAGCATGGATGAATTTTTGATACCAGTTTCGAGAGTCTTGGAGAAGGCCATAAAGAGATTTGCGTTGGCGACAAACCCGAGTGTATCCGTTTCTTCCAAAACCTTGAGGAATCTTCATGTAAACTTCCTCTGCTAAATCACCATGAAGAAAAGCGTTATTAACATCTAGTTGGTGGATAAACCAATTATTCTTGACTGCCACGACCAACAAGGTGCGTACAATGAGCAGTTTTGCAATAGGAGTGAAAGTCTCGTGGAAGTCAACCCTTTCCATCTATGTAAAGACTTTCGCAACTAGATGGGCTTTGTAACGATCCACTTCTACTGTTGGTTTGAACTTGATTTTGTACACCCATTTTGAGTCAATTGCTCGTTTTCCAGGAGGCAAGGTCTCTAAAGTCCATGTCTTGTTCCGTTCCAATGCATTGATTTCATTTTGCATGGATTCTTGCCATCGAGCATCTTTAGCTGCCTGGTAATAATTTCTTGGCTCATCATGTTCAATGATGGCGGCTAAATAACATTTGTGCAATTTAGAAAACTTTTCATAAGAAACAAAGTTAGACATAGTGTGTACCGTGGAACTATAGTGACTAGTATCGGGTAGAGTGTGGTCTATGGAGGGAGGGAGTCTCGTAGAAAAATCATTTAGATGGTTTGGTTGGGTTTTGATCCTTTTCCTACGTCTTCTGATGGTACATGATAACTTCCTCAAATGTCACAATGTATTGAATCAAAGCATTCTAACGTTTTTTTGAATTACTAGGAAAAGGTAAACGAGTTTCTTTGGCCTTTATACAAGAAGCACAAAAATTATTTTCTGTGGATTTGTTGGATCCAGACAAACACGCAATTTGACGAAGCTTTTCTTCAGACGCATGCCCTAATCTCTTGTGCCAATTCCCATCTTTTGAGACTTCCATCACCACACCTCCACTTATTCTAGATTTCATGCGATAAAGACCATCTTTACACTCACCCGTGCCAATCACTCTCTTCGAAACTAAGTCCTGTATGATATAAAAATCATGAAAAAAAGTCACAGCACAATTAAGACCTTTGTTAGTTGACTAACAAATAAGATATTGGTTTTGAATGAGGGTATGTAAAGGACATTTTTCAATTTTAGGTCCTTAGTTAGGATGGTCGTTCCAAAGCCCTCAACTGACACATTTTCACCGTTAGGAATAGTAACAATATCATGGGATTGTTTAGACCATTCATGTAAAAAAATCAAGATTGCTAACTATATGCTCAGTAGAACCAGAGTCAACAACCCAATTGATGTTTAGCTTTGTCTTACCAGCCATGTTGACCGTAGGAGTTTCTGAAGTGGAATAATCGGTGGAAAAATGTTTCACCAATCATATGTATTGCTCGCTAGTAAGGCTTGGTATGGGACTTGGATCGAGACTGACTTGTGCAGCCTTTGGTTTTATTTTGACCTCCGTTGATTGAATTTTTCCTTCTCTTTTAGTCTTGCCAGGCCACCATTCTGGATAGCTAATACGTTCGAAGCAACCTTCGTATGTATGCCCATCTTTGTTCCAAAACATGCAACATATCACTTCCTCACTAGCACCATCAGGTTTCTTCACAGAGCTGATGTTTTGTGAGAAGGGCTTGGAAGGCAGCGGATTCCACATCAGGTTTCTTCACATAGCTGATGGCCCTTTGTTGTCCGTCTTCAGCAACTAGGTGGTGTTGGTGATTTTAGTGTCACCATGTCATTTTATGTAAGTGGAACTAACATGTGAGCTAAGGGGCTTCATAATTTGTACTCTAATTTATGTTCGGGTATGTGTGGAGTGCACACATGTATAAGATCGAATCAGAAGTCGATTTGACGACAAGTCAGGGGTCCGGGGGTTTCCAAAGGGGCAACACCCCTTTGGCAGGGTCTAAGGGCAGCGCCCCTAGCGGGGTCCAAGGGGCAGAGCCCCTGGCTGGGACCATAGTAGGAAAAGGTCTCCGAATTTTACATATAGGACCATAGTGGGAAAATTGAATTCTTGAGGATGATTATGGTAAAACTAACGAAATTCGTCAGTTTTGGAAACCCTTGATTTCCGCATTAAATTCCGAATTTCGCTGACTTGCTTCAAAAGCAACCCATGACGGCCAACCCTAAGAGGCAAACCCTAAATCTCGTTTATTATATAAACAACTCTTTTCTTTGGGAAGAGATACACAATGATTAACTTTCTTTTCTTCAAACGAACATAGAATCCTTCTAGCAATCTGGCTTACGATTTCTGTGCCTAGATTTGTAATTGTCCTCTTGGATTATCCTAGACTGAATTTCTTGCAACCCAGGCATAGGTAGAAATATCAGTTCGGAAAGTGTTCACACGATCCAAGGGGTATCCAGAACTCCAACATAAACCATAATACTTCCAACAAATGGTAGGCTGTCCCAAGACTTGGTGTTGGCTTCATAGAGAGAATATGAGTTTTTATGGTTCCAAATTTGTCTTCAAGACCCATCAAAAACTCATACAGACGCTCATTCTCTTTGGTTTCTGCCATTCTTTTCTCTAAACCACATGTACACTTAGGCGTAGGCGATGCCGACTGTATTTCGTCCCAAATTCCCCGTAGTTTGGTGTAATACGCTGAGACGGAAGCTTGTCTTGTTGACTCAAAGTGAGGGTTTGTTTCAGTTCATATCCACGAGGGGCACTTTCCTTACCGAAACATTCTTCAAGGTCTTCCCATATTTCTTTGGCACGCTTGGCATACTTGACACTACTTCTAAATTTTTTTTCTCCATAGCGGTGGTGAGCCATCCATTGATTATCGCATCACACCTTCTCCACATCATCAGATCAGGCATTCCTTCCTCAGGTGTCTCCAACGTTCCATCAACGAAACTGATTTTGTTTTTGGCGAAAAGGAAGTTCTGCATCTCTTCCTTCCGGTCACCATAATTGTTGTCGTTTAGAAGATCATTGACATGCATATGCTTTGGATAGTCAGATGCATGTATGTAGTAGATGGAGTTAACATCGATTTGTTTGTCGATTAAACCATCTTTGGCGGCGTCGCTTTCTTCTCCGAACTTGGTCATGATTTCCGGCTAGGGTTGATAACCCACTCTGATACCATAATAGATATCAAAACTTCTTAATCATATTGATAAAATGTTTGGAATATAAATACAAACAACGAGTTAAAAAAGGAAGATATAATAACTAAAGCAAAACAAGATATATCCTAAATAAATGATATACATGAGTAGATACAGATGAAATCTTTTACATATTTCATTTTCGTCTTTTAGGAGGCCTCTTTTGAGAGGATCTGAGAGTGAAGAAGGTAGTGATCTTGGTGGTTTTCTTGGTTCCCTTGTTCTTGGTGAGGTTGTTGACATGTGAGTTTGGAAATTGGATGGCTCAGGTGTGTTTATGGTTGCCTTTGCTTGTACCTTTGTGGATTCGGTTTTGTATGTGTCGGTTGCTATTAATTCGAGATGGTCCAAGATGGTGTCTTTAAAGGTGAATATTTTTATTTGGCGATTGATGCTTGATAGATTTCTGACTCGTTTGAACCTTTTTTTGCGAGGTATGAACAGTCCTTCTTTGGATTGTTCGTTATGTAATGGAGGGATGGATTCTATGAATCATCTCTTCTTTTCTTGTTCTAACTTTTGTGAATTTATTGGCTTGGGTGCTTAGATGGTGGAAAATTGATATGCCTTTGTGAGGTTCTTTTTCCGATTGGAGCCAATGGTTTGATGGGCTGCACTTGAGAACGTTGTACAAGGATGTGCCGGAAGGAGTTTTCTTTATCATGTGGTATATGTGGCTTTTTAGGAATAAGACCTTGTTTGCGAAAGGGCATCCTAGGAAGAGTTTTTTGTTTGACAATATTGTCTCGTAACCTTATTTTTGTGTTCTAATATAGGTCTAAGGGGTCATTTGATTGGGTTATGTGGTTAAAGAATCCCATGATGACCATTATATAATGTTTATATTTTCCTTTTTGTATCTTGGTTAGTCTAGCTTCTTGCTAACGAGTGTATTTTTTTCTCTTGATAAAATTTCTGCCATTCTAAAAAATAAAGACTATGCTATACATATAAAAGCATATGGATATTGTTGAACAGATCTACTATGTTGGAGTATATGTAACTTGTCATTGACTCTTATTATAACGATTTAAAATGATATCAAAAGAAATTATAATGTCATAATAAATATGGAAATCGGAAGCACATGATGATGGCCCAATAATCATATTGAGGATTGTTTGGTTATACTATAAGTAAGCATATGCAATTAAAATTCTTTTTGCATTAGGCTAAATTTAAGCATTTAAGTTGGTCAAACCATACAAACCACGGAGCTTTTTGCATTCGGCTAAATTTAAGAATTTGGATGCACTATGAACAAATTTGATGCTACAGAAAGTACAACATATGTTTCAGGTATGCAGTATGCACAACTGGTATGCCCCAAGTAAGCACCATGCTCTGGGCATCACATATGGTAAGTGTTGCATTTAATCTTAACAAGGTTAGAAATAATACAACAAGAAGAAGAAAGAAACCCCAAGACTAGTTGCTCAAATCTGGGAGTAATATGTAGATAAAATGGTGTTGTGTTGCTTCCCCTTTACATTTACTTGTTTCCTGTAAAAGAGAAAGCTCGAATCAGACATACAAAAATAAGATAATGATTTTGCAGAGGAATGAGTACATACCATGGAGGGTGAATACGAACCATCATCCCAACATCAAGATCCACATCGCCACATATTCTTGAGCTAAATATGATGCTCAAATTCTTCCTTTGCTACATACAGTTGTAAGGGTATAAGCGACATTTACTAGATATAAATAAAGAATGTCCAAATCTGGTAGTGGTCAACACACACACACACACACACACACCTCCTCATTTTCAATGGAAGAACGTGAACATGAAGATGAACATGAACATGAACAGACAGTCAGCTTTCCTTCCCAAGATCTGGACAGTATCTTCACCTCAAAAGAACCCTCTTCATCTGAATTTATTAACAAACAATCCATCCAAGTTGTCTCAATTTGGCAGCAGGGTTTATGTTTGTATGAATTTATTAACAAACAAACATGTAGGGTGTACCTTGTTTTTGCAATTTGCTCAAAAAATATAAATCTCTTTCCTTCTCCATACGCATTACATGCTGCAACTTCCCAAATAAACCAAACCTGCAATTATCAGATTTCAGAACTCTGGTATAAACAATACAATACAATACAATAGAAATTAGATCACCATCACCCACCCTGTATGAGTATGTCTAGAAACTGCATACATATGCCCCCCATCTTCGTTTGTAGAAGCAGCACCTAAAGCTTCATGAAATTGATCAGCTATGGTTTTCTGTTTAGGCTCCTGAATTTGATGTGATAGATCACAGTTAATAACTATTTTTACTGGAATATGTAAATTGTAAATTGTAATAACAGAATTACATGTGGTGGTGGTGGTGCCTTGTCTTCTTCTGATGACTCCGAATCACTGACCAAACAATTGGGATCATCCTCTATGTCTATGTCTGTGTATCTATTATCACTAACTGATAATATGCTTCTCTTTTTGTCAGCAAGCTGTTCGGAGGTGGACTTTGTTTTATTGCACTGAAACAGATCAATATCATATGTGAAATTGTGCCCTAAAAAACAAAAGAGCAAATAAATAAGCTACCTTCACAGTAGTTGTAGTTCCATCTTCATCTTCAAAGAGGTGGTCCTTATGCAACTGTGTCCTAAAAGAAAACTTGCACTTGCCTTTGGCTTTGGCTTTGTCTTGGCCACCTGGCAGCAGATGATTAAGGATGAAAACCAATTGAAAGGGAATTAAGTCAACATGAATTTGTTTCAAGAAATTACCTTTACATGACCTTTTTGATCTGGCAGATACAGGATGAAACTGAAAGGAACCACAATCAGCATCTGCTGCTTCTGTATTTGCAGCAAGCCAAGTGCAAATTCCATCTGCCCTGTTTCCTCCAAAACTAGAAGGAGGTTCCATTTTCTGATACTTATCAGCCTCTGAAGTGAAGTATTTACTCAATTGTAACCAATTTCCTCCCACCTTAAAACCGCACAATCAGCACTGTTAGAAATATAACTTAAAGCCTTGTTTCTCTTTCTTTTTTTCCTATTAAGAGCTATGTACCTACCTCATTATCAGAGACAATTTCTTCATCTGAGTTGCATCCCTGTGGATTGTAGGTGAATTTGCTTTTGGTGGCAAAATATGGAAATTCAACATCATCTTCCACACAGATATCTGCTTGCCTCTAATAACAACAAGGTGACAGAGAAAACCTATTTGTAAACCATCAAAGTTTGTAGCATCAACCGGAATGAATACAATTACTATATCATAGCAGTACCATAAGTCAGAATTGAAATATATATATATATATATATATATATATATATATATATATTAATTGACTACTGTCCACTTTGAGAGACCACAATAGTTTTCCCCTTCAGTCAGCCAAATTGCATACTAACTTTTTGTTAAGAGTTAAAGCTATTGACTTTGATAACAACACAAGGGACTCAGGGAGTGATGATGAATTGTGGTCTGGCAGAAGTTTTCATAAAAACATACCTTTTGAAGTAAACTTGTTTCATGTCGTTCATGCATGACTTCATTAGCATCTGCATAAGATCATACCATGGTTCTTTAAATAGTAATTTCAGGTGATAAATTAAAAGGATTGCAATCAATAGTGGAAGTAGTGATTGAATGAATTGTACCTCTAAGCATATCAAGTTGAGAAAGAATTTGTACTTTACCCTGCACAATTTTATATATAATGAGCTCTAACAACAAAATAAAGTATAGCTATAGCTATAGCAACACACTGTTGAGCAGATAGTTATATGAAGAAACAAACTCTCATAAAAATCCTTTCTGTTTCTACTTTCTAGCATACTTAGAAGTTGAATTTGCACACAAAACGCATACACACGAACTTAGAGCAGAATATTAACCTTTTCTTCAGCTGGAATGCCCAACGAGACGTGATCTTCTGACAAGTCTCCATCCAAATCATCATCCTCTTAAAACAAATACCATATCCAAATTCAAGTTTGCATTTCAAAAACAACATCTCAGTAGTTCTCATTAACGAGATCAAGCTGAACGTAAAGCTAAAAATCGACCAGTGCATCTATAATTACGTTACCTGATATACTCTGATCAGAATTTTCATTTTCCTGCAATTAACAAGTAGTCACTAGCAACGACAAATTCAACAAAATTTAAATGTCATTTTGAGTTAATTTCTACTTGAATTGAAACAAATAAGTTGTGATTCTGATGGGTGGAGAGTGTTATCACGAAATAAGTGCTAAATCTCACATTGCTTACCGGAAATACGGTGGCCCGCCACATTTCTCCTTGGTAAGAAGGATGACCTCCGCGGGTATGGCGTTCCACCATTTCACGGCGGACCCTTGGGCCTCGGCAGTCAGCTCACCAGACACCAGCTGGGTTTATGTTTGCACATGGCCCTGTTAAAATAAGCCCGTAAATGTAAAATGGCCCATTCTCTTAAAATATATACATGGACAGAATAATGGTATAAAAACTTTTTAACTTTGAATAAATATAACTTTTCCTTTTTTTTAATCACTTTGTGCATTTCTGGCTCAGTAAGCCCTTACGTTTTGGCAGATTTTTTTTTTTTTTTTTTTTTTTTTTTTTTTGGTATAAAAAATCATTAAGTTCATTAAAATCTTTAAATTTGACAGAAATATTTGATTTTATCGGGTAAATTTGTAAAATGGTATTTTTTTTTAAAGTATATGGTATAATGAACATAAAATCCACAAAAGGGGTAATAGATAGATATATAGTATATAGATATATAATAATATAGATAAATATATATCTATATATATATATAAGAGTATTTATGCATCTATAATTTTTATAAAATTTTTAATTTCTTTTTAATAATAATTATTATAAATTGATTAACTTATATTAATAAATACAAAAAAATATATATTTTTATTGAAATATGAAATTATAACATTTAAAATTAATTAACAATACTAACTATCTATAATAAGTGGTTTTATAATGAATACCATAAATGGTTTTATATCTTTCTATATGAATGGTTTCCTATAAAATTCAATTTTACAATTTATTTACAAAAAATAAATTCAATTTCTACTATCTGCAAACCAAATGCTTATAAGTTTTTTTTAATAGCATTAATATTTTAATTATTTTATTTAAATTCATGCGAGACATGTGAGATTCACCTAATATAACTATTAGTGCATAATTGTCATAAAAATCTACAAAAATTGAACACTTACACTATAGAAAGAGTCATCGTAAATGAACCCGTGTAATAGCCAATGAGCATATGTGTGGTTCACACATACACATACATATATTCTATTATAGGGTTTTTTTTTTAACAACATATAGTATTATACATGTGACGAGGATTGTGAAAGTACGGTGATTGCCAAACGTTGAAATCAATTTAAACAAAAAGAAGAAAAATAATCTCATTTTCCCTTAGGTGTCATTTACACATAATTTCTTCCTTCGACATTTGGATTGAATGGTATAATAAAAAACTGATCATTTTGTACAACCCTTTTAACATTCTCTTGATAGGGTGGTCTTTATGACGACATAAAAGAACATAATAAAACCAATTAAGATAATGACTGATGTGAACGTGACATACATAAGATTGAACAAAGACTAAATCAAAAGAAACTAAACTTTTAAATTTTATTTCCATTTAAAAAAGATGAAACGAAATTGAACAAACACATTTTACCTAAAATACCCTCAAATGAGGTTGTCGCCAAGATAGACACAGAAACCAAGAAATGAGGTTGTCGCCAAAATAGACAAAAAAATTGGCGAGCCTTTAAGGATGAGAGGGTTAGGAAGTATGGACTTCCACCACCCTAATGTCTGTAATTTAGGACTAAAAGTTTTATCCCTTAACTAAAGTTTTTTATAAAATAAATTAACTTTTAAAATTAAATTAAATATAAATATATGATTTCAAATTTCAAATTTAATTAATTTAAAGTAAACTATGTAAGTTAAAGATTAATTGTAAGATTAAATTTGAAATTGATAATTAGTGAAAATACCCGTAGGGTTTATGTATATTCCATCAATATATATAGATACAAAAGTTACAAAGAGGACCCTACACTATACAGTGTATAAAAATTAATAATGCAATTTAACACCCCCCCCCCCCTCTCAGTTTGAGCAGGAGGTTCTCGTATGCTTAAACTGTTCCGAAAATCTGGAAATAACTGAGTAGGAAGTCCCTTTGTAAAAATATCAACAAATTGATGAGCAGATGGAACATGCAAAACACGAACCTGACCAATAGCAACGCGTTCCCTAACAAAATGTAAATCTATTTCCACATGTTTGGTTCGTTGGTGCTGAACAGGGTTAGAAGCCAAGTACATGGCACTGACATTGTCACAAAAGACGACCGTGGTACGAGTTAGCGGACAATATAACTCAAGAAGGAGGTTACGAAGCCTGGAAGCTTCGACAACAACATTGGCTACCCCCTGTACTCGACTTCGGCACTAGACCTAGAGACAACGTGATGGCGCTTGGACGACCAAGAAATGAGGTTGTCGCCAAGATAGACACAGAAACCAGATGTGGACCGACGTGTTTGAGGACAGCCAGCCCAGTCAGCATCACTGTAAGAGACCAAACGATCGACATGAGACGGACGAATATAAAGACCATACGTAATGGTACCCTGAAGATACCGAAGGATACGCTTGAGAGCAAGAAAATGAGGTTTACGAGGATCATGCATGAAGAGACAGATTTGTTGAACTACGTATGAAATATCTGGACGAGTGAAAGTCAAATACTGAAGAGCACCAGCGAGACTTCGATATAGGGTAGGGTCAGCCACATGTTTTCCAAGAGCACAAAGCTTAGGCTTAGAGTCCGTAGGAGTGCTACAAGGATTACAGAGGGTCATGTGTCAGCACGAGAAAGAATCTCACGAATGAACACAGTCTGAGATAGGAACAGACTCTGTGACGACCTAGTAGCAGCAATGCCGAGAAAAAACGAGAGAGGTCCCAAATCAGACATAGGAAACTCAGCAGATAGTCGAGAAATAACACGTGTAACCAAGGTTGATGAGGAAGCAGTAAGGATGATATCGTCGACATACAGCAGAAGATACGCAACATCATTCCCATGGTGATAAGTGAAAAGAGAAGTATCAGAACGACTGCTTCGAAACCCAAGAGAGGTGATGTATACAGCTAAACGCTGATACCAAGCACGGGGAGCTTGCTTTAGGCCATATAAGGCCTTGCGAAGACGACAGACATGATGAGAATACTGAGGGTGGACATAGCCAGGGGGTTGCTTCATGTACACCTCCTCATTAAGATCTCCATGGAGAAAGGCATTTTTAACATCGAGCTGATTGATGAGCCAGTTGCGAGAGACGGTAATGCTGAGAACAGTACGAATGGTAGCAGGCTTAACCACTGGGCTAAATGTATCATCAAATTCCAACCCAGGTTGTTGAGAAAAACCTTTGAGCTACCAGAAGACCTTTATATCAATCAAGATTGCCTTTAGAGTCAAGCTTGTGTCGATATAACCATCGACAACCAACAATATTTGCATTAGAAGGGGTGTTGGAAATATTTGGATGTGATTGTCACTTGAAATGAGTTGAGTACTGATTTACATTTTCTAACAAACATTATCAGAATGTTTCAGGTTGGAAAGATACTGAAGATTCAACAAGTGTTTGAAGAATCAGATGTTGGAGCACTTGAAGTGAACTTGGAGCACTTGTTGTACACATGGAGCACTTGTTGACATGGATCACTTAAAGAAAGCTAGTTGGATCATCATGATCTCAGATGACACATCTAGATCATATGTGGAGCATCAAGACATTGATGGATCATCTAGAATATTGATGGCTCATCAGAAACATTGTTGGCTCATCCACAACTCTATGGCTCAACAAGAGTTGATGACTCAACAGGAATAATTGGTGGCCCAACTCAAGTCAATGGATCAACATGATCACATTGATGACTCAACAAGACTGCACATGACACATCATGTACAATGAAGGCACGTCCAAATGCTCAAAGGAACATGAATTTCGTCCATGGTCCATCATGAACATGTGGTGGTACATCTTCAAGTTCAAGACACAGTCCAACACTCAAGAAACAACTCAACATGATCAACAACACTTCTGGAAGTTGATGACATCTAAGAAGACAATTGAGCAACATGATGCTCATGTTGCTCATCACATTTTCAATGTTGATCAAGAAGGTTCAAGAATTATGAAGACTCATAACTTGGATGGAACCTTAACGGAATTGGAATATTCCATCCATTCTCCGTTAAGTAGGGCAAAGGTGTCAACTGATTGGTCAAGCCATGTCATGGGCTTTTCCAAAGCCTATAAATAGGCCCCTTGGGATCCATTATAAAGTTTCTCTTTTCTGATCATTCATGCTCATTCTGCACAATTGCTGCTTAGACTAGTCTTTAGAGAGCCATTTGAGAGTTTTAGTGTGTTCTACATTCAAACACTTGTAATTGAATCTTCATGAATATGAGAAACATTTGAATCATTGATCTTGAACATTAAAAAACGTTTTTCTATTAATTTGATAGACTCACATCTCTTTATTTTCCGCACTACTTGCCACTTGACGATTCTGAAACTCTGTTTCAGTATTTTCAACACTTGGACTATTCTAGTCTAGGTTTACTGAATTTTTCTCATTTCTTCAGTTGGTATCAGAGCTCGAGTGATCGACTTTGAGACTTAGAAAACTTTTCACAAAAACACTTTTTCAAGTTTCAACAGAGTATCACCTGTTCTCAATGGCAAGTGTGAATCAAAACCAAAATGTTCTCTATTCAGTTTCAGTTGCAAACAGTCTTGGAGCAGGAAATCGTGCACCTATCCTTGTGCCTAGTGAATACACTTCATGGGCAGATCGCATCAAGTACTACCTGGAAGGTCATCACTCTGACATCTGGACCTTCATCTCCACTGGGAAACATACTCCGAAATTTTTGAAGGACATCAGAGTTCCTGAAGCTGATGTCTCTCCTGAAACCTCCAAAGTTATCTCTGGATCTGTTTCCTCTGCTGCTCAACTTTGTGACAGGAAAATCAAGAAGTTTGAGGCTAAGGCAATGCAAGAGCTGTTATCTGGAATTGCTCATGACATCTATGAGAAACTTCCCGATGAAGACAATAGTTCACCCTTCAATGTCTGGAATGCACTCAAGAAACAATTTGAGGGAACTGATAAGATCCTTGCAAACAGGAAGAAATCTGCATTGACAGACATGGAAAACTTCAAGATGTTACCTCATGAATATCTCTTTGTTGCATATTCTAGGTACAACATTGTTGTCAACAGGGTGAAGAAACTCAAAGG